TCAGGGGTTTCTGATGCGTTACATGTACAGGCTATTTGGTCAGTAAAGAGATGAAAAAAATTACAGTACTGCATGCAAAAATTTTCTATTTATATGCGACAGGGTTGTTCATGAAACGTATAACATGACACAGGCATAGTGTCTGTCCCCACATATTGGTCATTTGGGGGAAACATTCAGGGAAGGAAAATAAAAAGTCCAGCACTTTTACATTAATAACTGATGGAGTGGCCAACTGCCGTTGCTGACATTTATTAATGCTTGGGTATTTTCAGCACAAAGGGGAAATTGGGGCACGTTATTATGTCACAGCTTACATATCGCAGGGAAAAACTAGGTTGTTTTACATACGGTAAACGACAAAAGTAACGGGATTAGATGTAGGCAGGTGTTGACAAGTTTATAGAGTAGGAGTAATTGGCCGTCTAAAGCTAGGCTTACGTGTAAAACCTTTAAAAATTTTACTGAAGAGAAATGGTCTCTTAAAAATGCAGTACTTCGGGGTTAATATCTCAGAAAGACGTAGTTTATCTGACCTGTGCCTTGGAATATTTCATTTAAAGATATAATTGTGCCATGCAATTAATCTATTGTAGATTCTATGCTGCAGTTAATGTATGCACACATAATCACTAATTCTTTTCTCAATTTTATGATCAATATTTAGAATGGGTCTGAAAAGATGAAAATATTTTTAATTTGAATAAAATGCATTTCTACCATAAAGTAGGCATAATAAAAACATACCAAATACTATACTGTATTTTATTAAAACAAACAAAAGCTAATATAATTAACAAGTAAATATCAAATGTTACACCAATTTAATTTTTATCAACTATTTTGTTTATAACATTACAAGAGCAAATATTTAAAAACTATGTTTTTGATTTACTCATATTTTGTGCATTAATCAGAAAGAAACACCCTAACTCCCTAGCACTTTGCTTTACCAGTATACTTGTACACCTATGTACAACACGCGGAAATTAGAAAATTCTTTACACCACTGTTAAATGCAAGTCTTTTGAAGTGTATGGATCGTATAGCCCGTATGACCATGTGAAGGGTCGGGCATCATGGGATGCTGTACTATATAATTATAAGAAGCACATGTAAGAATGTACGCTCAAGGGCGTTTCCATGTGGGAATGTTGCTGTTCAGAATGTCCAATTTTTATTTAATGGAAAGATGACAGGGGAAACGACCTGGTAGGGATAAACATGATCAGGGAATGTGATGGATAGGTGGGAGTGTACGTGACATACTGACTGCATAGATGTTCCACCGGGATGTGGAGTTAATGAGTTGGGATCGGAAGGGGTAGCAGTCAAAGTTCAATGAGATGTTTGCTGTCTTTTTCTGTGAGAAATAAATGATTGATGAGGGTACATTGGTCATATTTGCAGCTGTTCTAACAATAGAAAATTTTGAGACTAAATAATGGTTCAGAAATTAGTATTCTATTATTTATTGTCAGACTAATAGATGGTGGTAAAATAAATTAAATATAACAATTAAAAAAAATAACTGATAAAAAATACAAAAATCACAAAATATTAGAATGTTGTAACTGAAAGTTAATACAATTAACAAAATGCCATTACCTTACATCGTTAAAAAGTAGGCCTACGGTATACATTTCACAATGCCTTTTGTGAGAAAACTTGAAGCTTTTAATGTTGTTTATTGGAGTGTGTTTGTGGCGACACCGGTCATTTGTAAGCACCCAATGAAATGAGTCATATTTAAGCACCTGCACTATTTGGCCAATGCACTTACTGCTATAAAAATTTATCATTAACAAAAATATTGAACAAATATAGTATAACATTTTAAATGATACTATCTGCTGAGCAAAATAAAGTGGAAGGATAACATTTTTTGTTTATACGGTATTTAAGCATGTGAAAAGACTTCAACTGTACATAAGCACCAATTAACAAGGGCACTCTATGATTAATATGCAATATTTGAATATACTTTGCATACACCACCTGCTTTCAATTAAAGGAATTTACAATCGACAGTATATGTAGATGAGGATGATTTACTCCTGTCCAGAGGAATATTTTCATGTCTCGATTAACAATTGGTTGTCAGTTTTGTTTCTTAAAATGTTAGTGTCAGACTTAGGCTTTGGTAGACATTGTACACAAATTTTATTGCTGATATAATGATCAGATAAAGTTAATTAAATTGTGATTTTAAGATTGATAACAATTATAACCAAGACAATAAATAATTTAAACAATGTTAGTTGGTGAACTCATGTATTGTAGGGGTAAGATGTAATCACTGACAAGGCCAACCAACATCATGGCTACACCAGCTCAGACACCACACCAAAAAATGCTACATTGCGATCATGGGTCCCAAGTTTGAAGAAGCAATTTCCAGGAGATCTGTTTAAATGAGCTTTTATAGCACACTTACTATAATTTTGTCATGTCATGGTGATACCTATCGACGTTGACTTCCGTGAGATGAATGACAATAAAGGGGTAACAAAACATTTGTGGAAGATAGGTTATTTCCAGGAGATTCTCGCTTGGTGCCAGAGTGTGGGAGGCTGTCCTGACAGGAGACTCCTGTAACTTGTAGGAAATGTGTGATGCCTACAGTATAACACTTAGCTGTCCAGCCTGTAACGCTAAGCTATGGGCGCTGTATCGCTAGGTCGTAGAAAATAATTGCACACCTACTATGTACAATACAATACCTTTCACATTTCAAAGTGACATCAGTACCTGCTAAAAGCATTTAGATAAAGGGCAAGCTTATATGTAGGTCTAGCCGTTTATTTAATGTTATATAACAACGTTGCAAGTAATTCACATGGCCGAAGGCCTAGAGGTAAGTTCTTTGTGTCTTGCTGATCAAAGCTGACAGTAATCAGGGGGTGAAAATACCTCAATGCCAAGGCACATACCAAATCCCATAAATTCAATTTTAATTGCCCACAGAATAAAAAGCAGATTTTTTTTATATCAAACAATCATGTGACCAAAAAAAAACCCCATGTTGGTATTTATTTGTCTGTTTTCTTTCATTAGATTTTTGACATGAGGATCTCAGTACCTACAATGATTTACTGCGCACAAACATCCTTTTTATACTTTCGATGTAAAGTCCTACTTTTTCTGGCTGTGAACTTTTTCACAATAAAACAAACTTTGGCAAGACAAATATTTATAATAAACAACAGGCTGTACTGAAAGTAGTAGGGAAAGTGCCAAATTAAACATTGCATAAATTAAAGTAACAAACAAATAATAATTACTGTAATCAGTCTGTCAGTGTCACCATTGGTACTACTGTGTAGTAATTACTACAACAATACTGCTTTATTATTTACAGATTTGCTTGTTATTGGAGAAGAAATGTTGATTACTCCTCTTTACAAAAGTGCTAAACACTACATTTTGTCAAATAATTTATTCATACTAACAATGAATTATTGACAGTTTTAAAATCATTATTTTAATATATTTTCAATATTGGTTTTATATCAGTTAGATTCTAAAGATTTAAAAAAATTAATTCTTAAACCACACTCAATCATTGCTACAGTAACTATCAGTAATTTGTTACATGTATAGATATAATTAATAAAACCTATTTTGGAAGGTTATGAAAGTTATGGTAAAACATGTAGTAATACAATATTTATAGTAAAAAATAATTTAAGGAACTAAATCAAGAAAATGAGGGAAAAGGCATAGTTGATAACAAGTAAATAATTGTGTACACACTACAGTATTTTTATTGATAAAAGAGAGTTTTAAAAATTGTGTTAAAATCAGTTTTTTTAAATATCTGCATATCTAATTATGAATTATCTCTACATGAGAAAAGATCAGGCTTCTAAGTAGTTTACCAGCTGGAAAGATTCCCTACAAAAATAGGTAAAACTTGAGTCATAATAAGGTTACATTCTCGTAATGAACGGCCTGTTGTAGTACCAATCGACAGGAAGCTTGGCAAATCGAATAGGAACTATTTAATAAGTGGGAGATACGACCCGATTGTCAACGATTACTTCACCAAACACTACGCTCAAATCCTAGAACATGATCGCCAATTTCTTACCAATTATAGCAGAGTGGATATGGAAATAAAAATGGGAAAACCAGAGCTTATCAAAAATTATTTTGACAGGCGTAGTCTTTTTGCAAATTATTTAAAAGGAAGATGATTTAATAAATTAATTAATTTGATAGTTCGATCAAGGCTTCTGGTATGAGCTATTGGATGCTAAAATCTATTTCATAACTATTAAAGCTGCACATTTTTGCATATAAAATTAGTGTGTGGAAGGCAAGAGAAAAAATAAAAGGAGGGAAAAATACACTATCAGCAAGGTGTTGTTAATTAAATAAAACAATAACAATAATACTTATACAAATTATAAATGTAATCATACAAAGTTTTCCCCAAATATGTTTTATGAGACAGCTTGTCTGGCAGAAACTGGCCTACAGGAAGTCAAATCTGATCATATCAGGCTAAATACAATTTAATGATGTCTGTACTGATTGAGGATTGACTACTGGCTAGTCGAAGTTACCAAATGGGGTAAAAACATAAACTTAATATTTACTGATAGGGAAGAGGCTCTCATTTTTAGACTTTTAGTATCCATTTTGAAGATTTTTACTGATTAACCTGGATCTTGCACTTAACAGAGTGCTTGTAAAGATCATAACTAAAACTGAAGGTGAAATAAACAAGGATGGCCTTCACTTTAAATCAATTGACATATATCTGTAAACATGGGAATAATTTTATTTTATCTGGGCTGTAAATCGTGCTAGCTAAATCCAATTCATGTTATAGTAAAATTCGAAGAATAAATAATCATAGCCATTGTAAATGCACTATTACAGTAATAATTAAAATTAATTTAACAGAAATTTAACAATTTAAAACTTTTTGTGCTTTTTTATTAAGTATGCTAATATTGTAATTATAAGTATTAGAACTTTTGTTAACATACCTGTGTTCTGTGTTGTGATCAACATTGGCATCGTTGCCCTCAGCCTTCAACATCTGACAGTGGCGATGATTGGTGTCCCCATTTTCTGAACAGCACTCACGGCAGAGGCTGCGGTCTGCATTTGGATTTGTCTCCAGCATACTCAGGCCTGTACTTTGGTCTTCCTTCGATGATTTTGAGTAGGCTAGCTGCGCACGTTCATGACGTTTGCGATGAATGCGGAATTCAGAGTACAAAAGAAACGAGATCCCACACTGATCGCATGTATGACGGTTGTTTGGTAGGAGGCCAACCATGCAGTTTTTGCCAGTTGGTTCTTCATTATCTGCCAAAGGATGAGGCTCTCCTTCACCATCACGCTTTCCATTTGGTGCATTATCTCTGAAAGAGTCATTGTTAGGTGGAGAAGGCATCAGCCCTGGGGTCTTTTGATTACGTTCTGCAAAATATTCCCGCAAACGTGGATGCTTCATCCAGATGGCTGCCATTGACTCTTTGTGCTGTTGATATAATGGGGGTGGAGGACTGGGAGAGTCTTTACGTAAGAGATAATGCACATGACTGAACTCACGTTCCGACATGATTGGCATGTCGGCAAAACTGAGTGGATGGTTGGCTCGGGGAGAAACCATTCCTGGATAACCTTCCTGTACAATTTGTTCTTGTTGGTTTTCAATTTTCTTTACTTGTTGTTGCTGCTGCTGGATTCGCTTCTCCAGTTGTTGAAGCATCTCCATTAGTTTTTCTTTGTTCTGAGGTGTACCGTCTGGTGAGCTTGTGCTTGGGTTACCGTTGTTTGCTCTAGCTTCTTTTGTAAGATGCGTATTGCGATGGTGTGTTAAATCTGATATGAGATCAAATCCTTTATTGCAGAGGTTGCACTTGTATTTCTTTTCAAATGCGTCATGATGACGCACACGTTGATGTGTCTGAATCTGTCGAAGTTTCTTAAAAGACTCTCCACACATTCCACATTTGTAGGAAGTCAGTTTGTTGCCATCTTTTCTGCGCTTTCTTCGTGGTGCTCCATCAGCACTGCCTTTTGAGACAATCGCCCTACAGTCTGGATTATCAGCTAAGTGCTTTACAAGATGCATTTCTGTAGGGTAAACATATCGGCAGGCTATACATGGATAAGTCTCTGGTCCATGGATGGTTTCATGCTGACGCTGATGATCCCGATCACTAAAGGATTTGCCACAAACTCCACACTTAAATGGTTTCTCACCACTATGGATGCGTTGCCAGTGGCGTTTCAGATGACACTTCCTGCGAAAGGCGGCAGGGCATTCGTTACAAGCATATGGACGCTCGTTAGTATGGGTTGCTCTATGACGCATCAAATGACTGGAATGCTTAAAATTCATGTTACAGACTTTACAGGTAAAAGGCCTTTCTCCTGGTTCAAGAATACCATCCACAACTGCGATTCCCCCTTGGTCTTCAATTTGGTCATTTTCATGATTAGCATTGGCACGTAGTAAATGCAACTGTCCATCGACAATATATGCATTTGGCGGTGGTATGGAAAATTGAGAATCATTAGCAGCAGATGCATACTGGTGTACAGCATCTGCATGGCTCTTTGGTTCATCATAATAGACATCCATCTGATCTGGCACATCATCATTGCCATCTTGTTTCTCAATCTTTACGACGCCCTCTACAACTCCATTTTCGTCTACTCTGGTAGCGCAAATATGCTTGCGTAAACTTGATTTGGAAATAAATTTATTTTTGCACACTTTACATGGATAGAAAACCTGAGAGCCGTTTTCACCTTCACCAGTCTCCCCCTTGTTGTTCCCACATAAAAGGGATCGGAGGAAATCTCCATTTGGATTAGATTCATTGGAATGTACGTCCTCGCAATTGGTTTTCTGAGATTCCAAGCCTCTTACTTCTTGATGGCGTGTCACAGTCCCATCCAAAATGTTGTACCTCTTGACCTCGACCAATGACTCGTTGCTGTCTTTCTTTGTTACACCCATTAACATTACCCTGTCTTTTGCCATGTCCTTCAGTTTGGATTCAAGGCGTCCACTTGCCCCCTTACCATTCTTTGTAATGCTAACACATCCATTACTAGTTTTATCACGGTATTCAACTGTATCAGGGACAAAGTCATTTTCATTTGTGTCAAAGCCAGCGATACACTTCCTAAAGTCATCTAAAAAGCTTGTTGACATCTTTCTCACAGGTCCCAGATCATTGATGTCATTGTCAGGTGAAATAATGACTTCTGCACTCATTATGGGAGGAGCCTTATCCAGAATTGAGTGGGTTTTCAATCTGCAAGAGCATTTAAAATTCAAATTAGGTCACTTTTATCAAAAAAATAATAATAAAAAATATGAGCAATAAAAAATAATTTATATGAATATTCTTATGATCCATGAAAAATATTTGTCCTGTACACATGATTTTGAAAAGTCTCAAATTATAAGAATTCAAATGATACTAAAAATAGAAGCACCTGATTATTATTAGTACTGCAGCTTCGTAATGTCACAAGTACTTTCCTTACTTTTTAGCTTGGTTATTTGATACAAAACACCCCAATTATTTCTACTCCCTGAAGTGAATCTTAGACACAGCGAGTGCCCCAGTGACGGTACATACAATCAAGGAAGGATATATGCTTATCCTACCAGGCAGTAATTTATGCAATGCACACTCTGCAAATGGGATAGATAAGCAGTGCTGTTGAAGGACATGTATATGCTGAGGTTGGTTTACAAAGTGGATGGTTTGTAGTGGTCAGTTTAGGCTTCTTGACCAGTTTCAAAAGTGTGCTAATGGCTTTTATTTCAAGATGATTTAAAAGGAATCAACAAACATATAATCTGCCACCTTCAGGCTGAAACAACTACAGGAATGAAAAAGATTTTCTCTTTGTTTAACTTATTTTTTGTAAACATTTGCTTCTGCAGCAAAAATCTACTGAATATTAAAATAGTTCTTTATACTTTTTAAGGTTCAAGAAAATATAACTAATTTTTAGTTTTAAAATAATATTATTAAATTTATTTTCGTTTAATAAGAGTATACTTTATAATTATACTTGTAGTTGCATTTATTTTTGGCTTGTGCAGAATATTAGAATATGGTTTAGTTTCATTTTTTCCAATTCCATTTCCATGAAAATGTGCATAGAAAAACATTGTTTTGTATTATAATTGCTTTTTATACAGTAATCGTTTTTGTATTACTATATAATTATTATTAATAGTGGAATAATTCAGCTTCCTGGAAATCATTCAAATCATATGAACCAAGATTGATTAAAGAACATAATTTATACTACAATGATAAGCCTTGAGGAAAGCTCACAAACTTTTTTTTTGGATGAAAGATTTCATATTTCCAAAGAAAATTTAATATAATTACAACTCCTTGAATAATATATTTCAAAAGGATTATTCATAATTATATTAATAACAATCCATTTCATTTATTAAAGTTTTCCATCAAGCAGAACTTCATTTGAAATTACACTACTGTATCTGGTATATATCAGAGAATGTATATTATTCTCATACTAAATTAGTTTCCTAGACTGGAAACATTTGTTTGCTTTCACTACACCAAAATAGTAGAGAGCTTTAGTCAAATGATTTTGCACTGTCCTACATTCTCTCGATGCTAGTCAACACTCTTTTGATTTTTTACCAACAGTCATATTTTACCGTTGATTTACATCATTTTCTGGTAGGGATGAGGGGAGAGGGAGACAAAAATAACTGCCTGCAGGGTAACCATAAGTAGTGTGGACACATAGTAAAAACATTATTATAATATAACAATAATATTATGAATAAGGTATCTTTTTTTAAAACATTATTCATTCACACAGCAAGGAGTTAGCACAAAACCAGTAAAACCACCATCATCCTAAAGGATTACTATTATGACACTACTCAATTTTATAATACTGTATTTAGTAGTAAGTATATTGTGAATAAAATATTAATATTTAAAAACTCAATAATTCATGATAATTATTGCTCAATATTTAATCCCAATTGTAAATAAATTTGTACAAATTATTATATTGGAAGGCCTAGTAAATTGATTATTAAATCATTTTATTATATTATGAAATTAATTTTTTAATATAGTAACTTATATTTTATATTAGTATAAGTCTTTATTTTTGTTTTCTTCGTCTTGTACAATCCTGTATTAATTTCATTAATTATAATGTTAAACCAGTCTTCAATTTTATATATTTTATGCAAATTGCAATAAAGTTGACTGTATTAATATTTATGTATTAAAATAAACTATGTTTAAATGGTTTATTAGAGTTAAACCTGGATATTACTGGCAACATAGTTTATTGTTATAGTGAAATGTCAACTGGAACATATTTAACAAAATAAATTCTAAGACTGCTCCAAGCATTAAGTAAAATTATCTTGAACTTGATTTATTGTTTTCACAAAATTTGTCAGAAACAATGGGAATATTTTCATTGATTCCTCTTTTTAAAAATCACCCACAATTATTTGAGTGACCCGACCTTAATTATCCAATTGATGCTGCGAAGAAAGCATTCAGGCATAGCTTCATTGACTGTATCAATCCCAAGGTGATTTATTTACTTTAGATTTACCGTAATAGTTTAAAAGAACATAGAAAAAAGTAAAATACTCTCAATTTATTTGATAGAGCCAAGGGATTTTTACCTTAAACAAATTAAGTGGATTTTAAACACAAACTTATATCATGGGCCCATGGAAATTCAGTTCTCAGGCATCACTCAACCAAATGTGAGGAAGAAAGGTATTTCAATGAGTAGGATATGGATATCTGTATTTAATTTAATGATAAGCTGGGAACTTGCAGTTGAAAAAATGTTTTCACAATATTTAAAGATGATCCCCTAAAAATGACAAAAATCATTTAAAAACAATTTTTGAGATTAAGTTGCTCATCTTGTAGTACTGTACCTAACATGCAAACTATTAAATTTAAGCATAGAAATTATTAAAATTAAAAAATGTGTACCCAAATTTTATGCTGGATGATAAAAATAATAAAAATAAATGCTCCCAGTAAAGTGGAAGTGTTCTAACATTTTTTGCTGTAAAATTATGAGTGAACATTTTTCAAATACACTAATTTCTATGTTGAAGTTATTTTTATGTTGCTTCAAAATGAGCAGATTAATTGCACAAAATGAGTCTTGATACTGTAATTTTTTTGGTATTTTTCAAGGGATAATACATCTTCAGTTGTAATCAACTAAACAAAAAACAATTTCAAACGATGAAAATATTTTTTTTATTCCAAATAAAAGGTTTTTAAACTTATTACATAATAACATAGAGGGTTATGCAGTTTCTATGACTTGAACTTGCACAAAAATAGCCTTATCATAATTTACATTTATAAAACTATTCATAATTTTAAAATTGTATGGGAAATAATACTGAATTGGAAAATAATAATTAGAAGAACACACAATTTTAAGAAATACACACAACTGCTCATGCTAGTCATCATGGCATACAGTATTTTTTTAACTTGTTATTTCTACAACAAAAAAGTTGACACAATACACTTGAACAAATATTATTATTGGTAGAAATAGTCAACAATATCCTTGGTTGTTTTACCCGTGGTTTTATGGTAGTGGTAGAGTACAGATCAACAGAGCCAACAGCATCAGACAGAGGTGGTTGTGGTCAGTGGGGTAAATGACCTAATGGGTGGTGGCCATTAGCTGCTTCGAGAAATGCAATTGGTACTACATACAACTATTCTTTCTGACCATTTTTTGACCGAGTTGAGAGTGTACCAGCATAGTTATTGGTGAAGGGTACCCAGAGTGGATTCTACCATAACTAACCTCCCAAAATGCCAACCGCTTCGGTTATTTGCATATCTCGCCCGGCCAAGGTCATTACTCTGCGTGTATCCCCTTGAACAGTATGACCTCGAAACCGGATATATGCTACGTGCGGAACAAAGGCGGAAAAGGGTAGCGCCTGGGAGTTCACCCCACCTCTTTCTCACTGGGAAGTCCGTACGTTTATGAAAACACCGAGTTTCGCATATCGAAAAAATGACCAAAAACCTGTCCAAAAGTGATATAAAGTAAAGTAACACAAATACTGATATACAACACAATGTTACCGGGGCACAAGTGGTGCCGAATATACCGGAACCGTAAAGAAAAGAGAGGATAATGCAATCGGATATGAACAAAGAATGTAACCCACTTCTCCGAAACAACTCCCCCATCACGACTGAGGAACGGCGACAATTCCTAAATAAAATGGTATAAATTAAAACAAGTAAAGAAATAACCTTTCTTACCACAGATATTGTAGTCGAAGATGCTTGTCATATCATTTCCCACTCTTTTAAGATGTAGAGGAAACAGATAACAGCAGTAAACCAGGAATATAATAAGTCGTTCTCAACACTGCAGGCGATTACTCTGTCGCTCATGTAATGCTTGTGTGTACGACTGACGGACTTACAAATTTTCTTCCTAGTTATGTTCGTTTGTTCGTAAATGTAGGTGTCTGTAAACTCCACAGTAACTTGCGAACTATCGATTCTATGGCTTATAATTAGAAGATAATTTAAGTACAAATATTCAAAATATAATTTTAAAATAATATTAATAACACGTTATTATTTTCTAAATATTATAAGTGTGTTTATAAATTATAATTTTATTATTGTGTCTAAAATTTTCACTCATTTTCGGTGCCTGAAATTCTATCTGAAAATCATGGCAGCCCCCTGTGTGCGACATGTTACTTTTTTATTTCACTGCAAACATTCATTTTCACGCACCCATAGTGTTCTAAATAAATTGAATGTTCCCTTTAAAGTAGGTATGTATTTCGCTTCTTTTTTTTTTGTTAGGCTTAGAGTTTCAGACTAAACCAACGCCGATGACTGGACTGACGTATTGGAATGATGCATGAACACTGCCAGCGGACCGGCAGAAGTCCGCTGGCAGAAGAACACCGTGCTACTGTCTGACTAGGCTGTTTCAGGATAGACCTAGGCTAGGCCTAGCTATGGAGAAAAAATAGTAGCTTAACTAGGCTGGGCCTGAATCAGAGTGTCTCACTCGTACGTTGTGGTCACGACATGACTAAAGTAAAAGAATACAAATAGGCTTATTTCTAGCTCATTATCAAAATTATTTGAATTTTGAGTAATCTTAATGATTGAAATACATACTACTAGAAGATGTAGGCCCTAGCAAATTTAGTTATGTTTAATAAAAACAGTAAAATTATAATTAAATACCAATTTACGAACGTCAAACCTCCCTGTGGTAAACTGTTTACAAAAATTCATTCGACAAATACAGGTATTCTCCAGTTGCGTGGGTTTTTAAAGAGTAGAAACTCAAGTCCTTTATTACAAAAAATTGTTTGGTCAAGTTAATGGAATTTTACATGACTATAAACACTTACACGTTTGGGGGATTTGATTGGCGTATGCACCTTGGATTTATGTTAACTTGCCAACAAAAGGGCCTCGGCATACAGTGCTGTGGTGAGCTTGGGCCAATGCTAATTTTGAGTGCTAAAAGTTAAACTCAACATACATTTAACCAGAAGCATGCCTGCGCATGCGGTATTTATTTCCTGTAAATATATCGTTTACTAATTTGTTTACGGTCATGTAAATATATCCACTTCATTTATTCATATTTTTATTCAAATTTATAATTTAACCAGGATAAAAATCAGAATCACATTTGATGAAGTAAGTTTTGTATGAGAAGAATATTAACTACATTTTAACAGTAGGCTAGTTATGGACCACGCAAAGTGTAAATCTATTGAGATATAAAATAGGTTAAAAACATTTTTTTTTCTAGACATTGAATAAAAAGTTAAATATTGATTAAAATGATTATTGAATATGATTAATACAGTTTGACTAAGATTGAGATGTCATACTGTACAAGTGGTAGCAGAATTTTAAAATGAGCGTAGTCAACAAGGTTTCAGATATCTGATGGTTTCATTCAGTCCATTTACAAAATTTTTGAAAGCTGGGTTCAAATCTCAATTCTGAAGACCATAAGTTCCATTCTAGTAAGTTCTTGGTTAGGGTGAAAACATCAAACAGTCTTTGTTGAAGATACAATAGGTCTATTACAGTATATTTGTTGAAGATAATAGGTCTATATTACAGTATATGTATTCTGCCCTTTGTGCCAACGAGTTTATCTGCTCGAATCGTTGATGTGCTATCTTGTTTGGAAAGAGACCATGTGTTTCTTTAAATATTATTTTGTGTCTTGCCATAGTGCAACGTTCTTCAAGTGTATCTCAAACCTGGTTTTAAATTAGGGCAGTGGTACTGGTTTTTCTTCTGTAATTTTTTGAAACAAAGCATTTTATTTATTTAGCTTTTTGAAAGAGGCAGTGAAAGCACATGTAACTGAACATAAACAAACCATTTTTTACTCATTTGCTTACCGTAGCAATTGTTACCATATAATTAGATATATCTAATTTCTCGCTGTGAGCATTAGTAATTTGTTTTTCTATTGCCATGGCTAGAGGTATAGTAAAGTAAATCCTTGCTGAGCCACGAGGGTTCATAGGGCTGGAGCTTATTCCGGTTACTCTACCGTGAAGCGAGTGAGAGTATTTGGTACGATAACACGTCAGGTAGGGCAAAACATCACTTCCTGATGCAAACTCACATCGAAATAGTATAATTATTATACAGTAAATATTCAATTAGTGATACAGAGGAATAAGGATAACTGCTATTATTTGAATGGTAATTATTTTATAAAACTTAACATACTTTTAAGATTACAGTCAAGAAAGAAAAAGATAGCATACCGTAGCCTAAAAGTGCCATTTCCGGCCCGCAAGATGAACTTTCAATAAAATTACAGGGGCGGATTTAGTGAGACCTTTTGGAAATAAAAAAAAAAAGAAGAAAGAAAGAAAAAGAAAAAATTGATCGCCCAAAACACTTCAGAGGCTATTCTCAGGCGTCTAGAAAACAAAAAGTTCACGGGGCATGCCCCTGGACCCCTTTGGTAGTGTTGTAGTGTTGTCTCGATCAGCCCCATATTTGGTCCGCCCCATATTTGGGTCAATAAATACTCAGGCTTTATAGCAATGACAAATAATACTATATTCTATAGTGTGTACTTGACCAATCTGTCATGCGGTACTGATAGATATTTACAGTAATAGTGACCTTCTTACTGTACAATTGTAATGGGGATTGCCACTGAATATAATCATTAAAAAATTAATTTGCTTTCATTATGTAAGCTTTGCCCTTGTGCATATATAATGTAAATATAATCACAATTAAAAGTTTAGATTAGAGGGCAGCTTTGTATGACTTAATTCATTTTTATAAGGTTTAGTTAAGCTCTTTGGTATGTATGTCACAGTGGCAGGTAAATTGCACATATTTAAACAGCTTGGGTAATTAGATAGCCTCCCCTATACCACTGCTTATTTGTATTCATGTTAAAGACTTGCCAATTACTTTAATCCGTGTCTTGAATTATCTAACTCCTGTAAACCTAGTTTTCCTCTATGTCTACAAACTATCAATATTTTAGAATCATGAATTTCAATTAATGATAATCCTATTCCTAAGGAAGTATTTTAGCATTTTATAATTTTATGAGAATTATGGCGTGTTGGATAAGGTGCTTGTCTTGGTAATGTAACCCACATCTTGTCTCAATTCAGTGCAAATATCTGGGAGACTTGCGTATCGTTGAAGATATTAACATCTTTCATATTGAAGAAAACCCTTTAAAAATTTAAACAAAACATTGAATAGCTCATTTAAAAAGTTAAAAGAGTATTAACTTCCTTTAGTAATGCATCAATCAGAACAAATAAATTTTTACTGCCAATTTAGGAGTTAAACATTTTAAGAAAAGTATCTAGAATAAAATTGTAAATTTAAAGTAAGTTCCTCTGAATATATTTAGAAATAATTTATTACAATAACTTTTATATACAGTACAAACAATTTTCATTTAATTTTGTATTTGATTTTTTTAATGATTTAGTTTAGTTTTACCTTGAATTTACCTTGAATCTTTAAGAATTAGTGATTTTGCTCATTATTTGTCCTTCAGATCATTAACAAATCCTCTTCGGTATTATAGTTTATAGTTTAGTATAAATTAGTTAAAATTTCTCCAGTTCTTAGCATCCATAGGAAGGTGTTTTTTGTTTTTTTTTTCCCTAAGTGGAAGAGAATGTGTTTGAGTTAGCCAGAAAGAATGGGTCTTAGAGAGAATTTTAAAGATTAGAAGTGGTGTGGATTTACATTTAAAAGGTGAAAGTGCATTTATTGTAAAAATATAATAAATAATAAAACACATTTTTAAAGCACTTATTAAAGCAAAAAATTGACTTGTCACCGGCGCTGGAAGAAGTAAGGAAGAAGTTGAGCTATTTGAAGAGGAAATATTTAAGATTGGATTTTAATAATAATGAAAATATTATTATTGCTTATTTTACTTATAGTTACCCGTTGTCATGCAAGATGGTTCCGACCCATGTTAGCTGATATCAACCGACAGATAAACGCAATCAAAAAGAAATATGGGAAAGAAGAAAATAAGCCCCGTTCCCACCAAGAAAACTGGTAAGTGTTATAAAAATAAAAATTGTACTAAAATACAATTCTTTTCCAATATTCTGTTTTATTATTGACCACTTTTTTAGTGTTAATAAAGATTAAAACAACTAAGCAGCTTAACCATACAATATTTAGCCAGTTTTCATTTTTATAAATGTTTGGCAACCAGCCAAAGAAGTTGGTAGTTTAGACTAAACTCCCATAACTATGACAAAAATATGCAATAATAAAACTAATGATACAAAGATTATAACTACCTGATATGAAATAATAAGTCATATAAAGTCATAGTAATTGTCAGTGGTGGATCCAGGAATTTGAAATAGAGGGAGCCCCAAGGAAGGATTTCCATGGACAGATAGGGGTCTGAGTTGGGCTGAGGTAAGAAAATTTATTATTATTATGGCAACTCTAGATTTCCGGAAATGGCACCCTGATACTTAAATTTGAATATAATTTTCTGTTTTTCTCTGTTTTATTTTAATTTTGAAAAAATTTAGTGGGATCCAGTGCGGGCTAGGCCCTCTTGAATCCGCCACTGATTGTAATTGGATTTGCCTCGTAGAAAAAAACCACAGCAGTGAAAGAGTCTGTTGATTGATTTATTATTGATATTTTTTTAATTATTATTATTTATTGTTAGAAAATTTCATCATAGTAAAATATTTTTTAACAGTATGATTTTTTATAATGTGAGTTTGATGTTATCATTCCTATTTATTTTACACCTACAGTACTGCTGTACCTACATTCAATGGAAATCAATACCTACATCGACAATAAAATAACATCTTATAAACACCATTTTAAACATTTAAATAAAATATTAATTTATTGTGAAAATTTGATTCCTTTTAAAGGTAAGTATAACAATTTAAAATGTTACGTATTACCTTTTATGTTTTTGTACTTTGCATTTAATATGATATCCATATGTGATATGACCTACTTAATAGTAAGCAGTGCTCATCAGTGGTTTTCTTTTTATGTCGTATTTCTTTACTTGTTTCTCTACTAAATGTATAAGATTTCTGGCATTGCTTTCATTCATCGCATTTAAAAACATTAAGAACTTGCATTTGATACCGAACATCGTTGAACCTACATAGTTTTCTCATTTAAAGGTAAATGGAAACATTCACATTTTTTAAGCAGCAAGTCATTGATTTTGTAGACAAATTCTGTAGGGTTCTCAGTCCATTTTGTATTCCGTTTCAATCATAGTCTTTTAGAATAGTGCATTTTAGTTTCTGGGGAGATTGATTTCTTATCAGAAGTCAACAGCCTGGCCTCAGTGTAGCTGTAAAAAAGTTTCAATGACAAATGATTTAATCACTACTACTAGCATAAAAAACGGTTTTTTTTCCAAACCAAATGCATAAAGTATAACATAGTAGAATTATTAACATTTTTAATAAACACAGTCTACAGGGCGTACAGTGGTGGATGTGCCCTGCAATTTGGATTTCAGTTATTATGGCATTTTTATTTATTTTGTTTTGGTTTATTTTTGTAGAAAATTGTTCGAAATTTTGTGGGCCAAAGTTGATATTATAACTAGTGCTGGAAAAGGTGCACGGTCGGAGGCATGAATGTCCAAGAGGCGTTTTTTGGGGGAACAATTTAAAAAAATAAACTGTTGAGCTTTGTAGTGTACAGATAACATTTGGTGCTGGAGGCAATTTATCATGGTCAGAGGCACAAACATATTTTTTTCCAGGTCTGAGTATACATAATAGATTTATTAACATTTCCTCACAAACAGTATACAGGGCACACTGCGATGGTTGTGCCGTGTGATTTGGATTTAAGTTGTTATGGCATTTATATTTAATTTGGTTTGGTTTATTTTTGTAAAAAATTGTTTGAACTTTTGTTAGCCAAAGTTGAGATATACTTCCATATCTCATAAAAATAATTTTGTAGTTTCATGATATCATGTTTCTTTGTTTTCAGTATCAAATTACATCTAAACTAATGTACGGCCTTTTTCCTTAATAGCATGCAGTAGAAACATTACAAATTACTACTAAGTGAATTGCATCAGTGAGCCCCGTTAGCATTTACGTATATCTTATCAATTTTTGTCTTCATTTATTCTGACATGTGATTAATAAGTGATAAAAAGGGGACCCTAAATGTCATTTCTTTACTAGCAATCATCCTTTGACAAATTAATAAGTTTGGAAATTTAAGGTTTGTTTTTAAGATTCAAGAAACTTTATTGTCTGTTCATAATAGAATATAAACAAAAAATTGAATTACTCTGCAAGATTTAAAAGTTAAAAAAAGAAATTTACATTAACATTACGTTATATTCTTTTATTTACAACTTTTTTTTGATAATTAGAAACGTTTTCAGCTTTGTAATAAAATCTGCAGAATAGAAATATGCGAAATTATGGGGCAATGTGTTTAAAATTCCTTAGAAGTCTTATAGTTTTTTTGAATGTATACTTAATTTCCTCCTTGATGTTCATAGTGAATATTTAATGACATAACTGAATTCAGATGGTACATTGAGTGACATCTCTCTTAAAAATTGTGGTACTGTTTTAGTGTCAAGAATTTAATAAATTGTAAAGCTGTACCTACTTAACTACATTTTTTTAAAGTCAAGTCAAAACAAGCAGAAATTGTATTTGTTTTCCCAGCAAATATCTGATTGAAAAAGGTATTGATTTTAAGTAAATTATCAGCACAATATCTGAGATATTATGTACCCCTTCGTCCAAACTGGGTTCGTATGAGAAAATTTGTAATTCAGGGAGTTCAAATTTTCAGCATCTCAGTGTGGTGAGGGTAGGCCTTGGCCATGCTACGAAGTACAGGGCTAGGTAGGCCTAAGCCTTGCCATGGGAGAAAAATTTTGTCACGAAATATGACTGGGATTTTACTTTTTTCTGCAACAAAATAATACTTTACAGAAGCCACAATTACCTGTGCTCACTGTGAAGTATTCAAGTGATTTCCGAATTTAAATATGATCACAAATGCCCAAAACGAGTGTTATTATTCTTTTCATAAAGATCGCGAATCCATGTGGATAGCACCCCCAATTTACTGTACATAAATACTGTACAGTATGCCTCAACAAGCATGCACAGGCCAAGTAATAACATCTCGGATGAAATCGATTGATATTTCTTGCTTTAAACTTAGTTTTATATCACTTTATTGGTTTGAATGTTTTCTGTCTTAGCTGATATAACAATTTAGTCTAGTCTACTTTGTGAATACTTACCTGGATAAACCGACTAATTGCCTATTCTTTCTCCCTCGAGAAACACCCCTCGAAAATAATAGAACAGTCGACTCCTGGCGCCAAGCACAAGCGGCCCGGCAACCATGCAACTTCCTCATTTGGAAGACTTTTAAATACATTTTAAAGTCAGACTCCGGAGAAAAAAAAAATTTTGATATGTTGTAGAACTGATTTTTCTAAGGCAGAAAAAAGTTGTTTGACGAAAAACTGGGGAACGGTGAACGAGATACAGATTTTTGAATATTTAAAAACTGGGGGGGAAAAGGGGCGTAACTGCCCATTTTTACAAGTTTTTCCCCAAGTTGATCAAATTACTTTTTTCTGTCTTTTAGAAAAATAAGTTCTACAACATATCCTATGGAGCCTGATTTTATAGTGTTTTTGTAGTTAAAAATGATCGTTTGTAATGATGTCATCGCCGCAAATTCGGTTCGTGAAATCAAGAGTTCGTAAGTGGGAGGTTTGTAATTGGGAGATGTTACTGTAAACTTATTGTAACTCCCATATTTTCTAGTAATGGCATTTAAAGAGCTTTGCCCTTGCTGGGACGGTATTACCTGTATTACTTAATCTGTTTTTATATCTGGCTTTTACATTATATAAATTAATTTTTTCCCCAGATCAAGGAGGCATGTCAAATAATTATTAATACTTTGAGCGAGACATTTTAAAGGGTAAACAGGTCCTGTATGGTAATAACATATTTTGCAACAGCAGTAAGTCCATTGATCTCTCCAGGGGACCAGACCCATTGTCTGGTGCCAACCAATAACCCTGGTGCCCTATGCCTGGGGTACTAAGCTCGCTACTTGCTGCTAGCATATTGGGCAGCAGCTTTTAACACTACTAGCTTTCCTGTACTTTAGATGGCTTCTAATGGCTCATGCACTTTATTTTTACAGTAGGCAATGATTTTGTTAAGCTTATAGAATGTTATTTATCTTATATCCTACAAACAAGTGACGAACTACAAAAATTTCATTATGGATATTCATGTCAGTGAGTGTATTTAAACTATGATTCCGCAACACCTGAATCTTCTATTAAAAAACTATTATCTGATAATTTTATTAGACCGCATACAGGTACGGATAATCATGGAGGTATATTTTTTATGGTTAATTTGGGTGTTAATGGGAATGTAAGCCTAAAATACAGTAAGCAAAGGGGAAAAAATGAAGTAAATACTGTAGATAGAAATATTAATCAAGGCAGACTGTAAGAAGAAATTGGAATGAACTTTCTACTTACTTTATAAGAAGGGAAATTAGTTTTGAATTTGTCTATTCTGATTCCATCATTGGGAATAGCACTAGCAGAGGAAGGATGGAATAGAGACAGCGAGGGCCACACCATAAACAGAAATACCCTAAGTTCAATGTACACATTGTTTTCCTTATGACATTGTATAACGTAGGCCTATTGGTAATTCCTACTGAAAGTGTTTCATCTTCTGTAAGCAATTTCATGGCAGAAATAGGGAAAAACCTGGAAACCCAAACCAACGTGTGGTTTTGTAGAAATAGCAAGTTGTCTTTCTCCTCTCTATTAAATTTGCTATTTTTACATGTAGACCTTTAGGCCCTATTTACATGATGGGGAGGGGTGCAAATGTGGAATGTGGGGTTGTGCTAAGGTGGAGTGTGGGAGATCGATGATTAAGTGAAGGGATGCTGGGTTGTACAGTAATGGTGATACAAGGTGATGTTTACTTGAGCGTGACATTTTTGCTCTGGACATT